CAAAGAAATAAATCAGAGCTCTCACGTTAGTCAAGGGAAGCGCTCAGCCTGCACAAGGGTACACAGCCCGATGGGGCGGCTCTGCCTCAGCCAGGATCCAGCCCTCTCACACGACCAGAATCTCAGCTCTTGGAGTGGGAAAAAGGGTGCTGCAAGCAAAGGAGACATTCTTCTTCCTGAAAACATCTGTCACAAATCCCACGTGCAGCAGCACCCCTGTGAGCCCATGCACCCACAGCACCACCAGCAGAATGGAGACAACCCTGGGCACCCAGAACCAACAGGGTGACCAGAGCATTTCAAAATGTTGCTACAACTGAGTTAAACCTGCACAGGAGGAGGCTGAGACTGGCACCCCTCCTCCTTCAGAAACCACATCTGAATGCCCAGGCAAGACTTAAAATCTGAACATAGAAGCAGCTTGCATTTTCAAAACGGTTTAAAGAAATTTTTTTTTTTTTTTTTACACTAAGAAATGCAAATAAACTCAGTGGAGCTGGTTTCCTCCCAGCAGCCACACCACTTGCGTGTCTTTCACATTTGCTCTTGGGAGCCATGGGGTCTGGAGGTGGCAGGGGGGAGCCAGGGCAGTGACAGGGGAACATGCCAGCAGTGTGCCCTCTCCCAGCTCAGACAGGCACTAATCCCAGCAGGTAGCTCACAAATAAATCAAGTGGTTAATTATTTCAATAAGTAACTATTCTCTTAAAAGCACCTTACTGCCTGCTCACAGGCTTCCAGAGGGGCTGAGCACACGGGCTGTGCTCATCTCACCCCAATTTCAGTTAAACAAGTGAATAACCTCACCCACCATCAGGGCACAGATGAACCAAGGCAGCCCAGCTCGCTCCCACATTAGACACAGGCCCTGCACACTCTTTTTTCTTTGTTACGTTCACACAACCCTGCGCTGCCTACACCTGATGTGGTTATTTGTGCCCACATGTGGGATCCAGCCCACACTCCACCACTTGGAAGCCACCACTGGGCGCCTGGTTGCAATTACAATGGCCTCTCCCCCAGCGTGGCCGTTTTCTTGTCAGGGAATATGGCACAAGATCTTTCTGTGTATTGAGATCATGTCAAGATCAAAACCAGAGCAGGAACCAGCAGAGTTGGCAGCCCTGGGTGCTGCTCGAGGGCTGTGTGTGGTGCCGGGGGGCTCCATGGGAAGGCAGGGCACTGCAAGGGGACACACATGTCCCTCCCAGGAGCTCTCCTCCATGCCAGCCAGGAAGGGAGGCCGTCACAGCAAGAAGCATCGCAGCCCTGGACATCCTCAAGCAGGGGATGCAGCAGAGGTTTGCAGGTGATGCTGAGCCCCCTGCGGCTCATTTCACCAGGAAGCAGAGCCGTGTCCTGTGGGGACAGCCCCAGCCCCTCTTGCTGCCCCACTCCCACAGAGCCCCCAGGCCCCCATTGTGCCCCAAAGAAGCACCAGTAGCCCAAGGGCGAGCACTGAAATGGCCAGGGAGACACAGAACTGCACCACTGGATGGATAATGCTCTTCTTGGAGACCCCAGGCACAACACTGGAAAATTCAGGGTGCACCCCCTGAACAGACGGCCACGCTGCTCCATCCCCAAGAACTACACGGTCCCTACAGCCCCCCCAAGCAGCACAAAGGATGCCCAACATCCCAGGCAGAAGCCCCCTCCCCCTTACTGGCCAGTTCCTGCTCCCTGAGCCAGGAAAGTCCTCTGCCCCCTCCACACCTGGGGCAGGTCCCACCCTCCCTGCATTTATAACCCACAGGTGCCCCATGGCTGCAGTGGCATGAGCCCCACATGGGACTGTGGCAGAATGGGGACAGATGGGGCATTTTCAGGGGAAAGCGTGGCTCTCCCTGTTACAGGTTATAAAACATTCCCAGGGCACGTCAAGATGAAATGTATAATTGTAAATCAGTCCTGCTGCTCTCCTGCATCTCCAGACCTACACAAGCAGGGAAGTTTTAATTTCTTCTTTTTGAGCTTTTCTTCCCCCGATTTTTGTTCTTTCCCTTCTGTCCTCCTAAATTTGGAATAAAAGAAAACTTAGTCAATCAAAATTTTTGAAAGCTCTTGCAATCCTGCTCTTCATGGCTTATGGAGCAGTTGGGATGGAGGGGGAGGCCCAGGGCACAAGGAACTACCACATTTTGAATAGCTGGATTTTCAAAATAAAAATGGGGTTAGAAATGGAGACCTTGGTTAAGTGCAACAGGGCTCAGAACTTCATTTCACACTTGGCAGCGAAGCTAGATCTCCATCATCTTCTTGCTCTGGCACTTCCCCCATTTAACTTGGTACTCCAAAGGCATTTCTGCAGCTCTAGCAGCACAAAGGATCTCACCACTGTCCTCTGAGCAAGCAGATGTGGGCATGTCACTGCCCAAACTCTTGTGGGAGCTCACTTGGAAACACTTGCCTGAGGAAGCACCAGCATTGGGTAGATAGATGGTGGGTGCAAGCCTGAATTTTTAAGCACATTCTCCCAGCACCTGCTGTCGTGGGGGGAAATATCTACCTTCCAGGTTTCTGGATTTTTAGCAATCTCAGATAGACACAATGAAGGGAAAAAGTCATAAAAATAGCCACGTGGGACCGTGACTCCTCCCCAGCCCGCCCCAGTGGTGCGTGATAGCAGGCAGACAGAAGACATCAGCACAGTGCAGCAGCATCTTTTCATAATTTTATTTCCAGAGGTCTGTGCAGAAAGATACAGTGGTGATGCCTGTCCCTGAGCCTCCACAGGAGTTTTTGGGGTGTATTTTTGAAGGATTCCTGACCCCGTGGCACCTCCCACGCAGGGACGGCAGCGCACTGGAGGGAGCAGCCAGTGATCCCTGGTAGTGCCGCTTCCCAGCAGCACTGTGGGTTCCCATTGGGTAAGACCCCCAGGTCCTGCCTGAGCTCGGTAGCCACAGACCCAAAGCTGGGGTCCACAAGCTGATATTGCTGATAAAGGACACCACAAAAGGGGTTTGAGCTTAGATTTCCCTAGTGCCCACTGCCTGTTATCAGGGAAAAGGCTCCTAAATACGCTTCACCAAAGCACCTACAGTAAAGAGCCGAAGTTTTGTTAGTAAACCTTGGTCCTTGGTGACATGGCACAAGAGCATCCGCCAAGGTGTGAGCTGACACCTTCAGTAAATCAGCTGCTGACTTTTCTTAAATCTCCTTTTCTAATTAGGTGCCAGTGATGACAAAGGTGGTTTCTCCTCTGCACAGACAGGAGAAACACCCGTTGCACCGGCACGTGATGGGATCCCCATCCTGCCGGCCAAGGGAACCCTCCCAACCCCGGGGAATGAAACATCCCGGTGGAGAACTGCTGGGTGAGACCACTGAATCTCAAGCAGCCACTGCTCGAGCGATGCCCCCCTTCCCAAATCCCAGCCCATCCCTCACATGCCAAATCGCTTCTTGAGCTGAAACCCCCATGACGCTGGTGGAGCCCCACCACAGGACAGCGCCATGGGACCTGAGTGCTGCAGGTGACTGGGGAGTGATACGGCGCAGATCCTGGCAGAGCCCCCAGCCCAGCCACCATCTCGCACCAAGCAGCTTCGGTTGGCAGCACATTGCTCTCTGCTGGGGCTCTTGAAAACAAAAGAAACAGCCCAAAACACTGCTGTGGTGGACATAAGCCTGAGCTGGGAGATTTCATCCCGGGCACCTTCCCCCTTCCTACCCAAAGCCACTTTTATTGTCTTGATCTAATGAAGTGCAGACTTCACCTGGACAGACCCATAAGTGGCTCCTCTCGGAGGCAATGAATACAAATACTTGACCTCATGAGCTGCGGGGCAGCAATTAGTTTAAGCAGGGGGTTTGTGTAACACTTCAAAAGTCTTAATCCGTGCGGTCAGCCCTGGCACGGTATTTGCCAGAACCTATTGAGTAGTCTTAATGAGTCTGCAAAGCAAGCTTTCAATACATTTTGGGTCGCTTCAGATGCTTTAAATGGCATAGTCTATATGGTATTGTGCGGCTTTAGAAAGGTCCGGGCTTTAAAAAAGTATGGCTCCCTTTCACAGGGCAGACAGAAACCATCTTTAGAGCCGGGACCCTTAACGTTTTGCATATCAATATGGCTGGGGCTGAATGCAGTCACTCAGCTGAGAAATAGGATCACTATCAGCGTTTCCAGGCTTTCACAGGCACTTGGGAAACTTTAAAGCCCTTCGTGGAGAATAATTTGGTCGAATGTCGTGGCTGGAAACAAAACCTAAACAAGCAGAGCGCAGTCCATCATGCAGAGATGCCAGTGAGAATGACAACAGGCTCCAGTCGCTCTGACATCCAACCCCCAGCGGGTCGGTGGCCGGGACACTTGCAGTCCCAGGGGCACCCCGCACTGAGCGTGGGGTGCCGAGTCCCACCTGGTGATGGCCGCATTGCTCAGCATGCCCTGGAGTTTTAACCAGCAGAAAACCAGCCCTGATTTTGTCTCTTCTCACTATTCTTTTACAATGTCCCAGTTTCTTAATACGGGCCATAGAGCCCCAAGCTCTGGCACCACGCTGGCGGCATCTGTGTCTGTCCCCAGCACCCCTCACACAGGCAGGGACCCACACCACGATGCCCTGCTCCCCGCGCAGAAACAGGCAACTGTTTGCATTGAACTCCAACATCATGTTAAGCTCATCCCCACACATGTCACTTGTCCCAGCAGCGACCAGACGAGCCCAGAGGCTGAACTGGACAAAGGTGCCAAAGCTCGGGTACAGCTCAGCACATCGGTGCAGAAAACACGTGTCACCTCCAAGGAGCACAAAGGAGGTGCCAGCAGCCGGGATATGGGGAGAGGTGCCGGTGTAAAACCACCCCGGAGCTGGGAGGAAAGGGGCTGGGGTCTGTTGTGCATCCCAGGAGAAGGGGTACCTGCTGCCTCCATCGCCCCCAGGCAGCAGCAGCGAGGAGGGGAGGACATGCCTGGTGGGACAGTCAGCTTTGCATGATGGAAGAAACTGAGGCCAAAACATATTTGCAAACAATGCAGGGCCTGAGGGCCCTTGAAAACATATAATTAGCTCATTAAAGAGACAAATACAAGTCACTAATAAGATATGAGAGGTTAATTAAATGTTTTCCCCATCTTTAATTAAGGGAAAACCAGTTAATTCAGATTAAACTAATTTCTGCAGCCTCCCATGATGGCCCTCTATGGCTGCAGACTTGAAAATCTATTGAGATTATTGAACTGAAAGGTCAGAGTTTGGGGCTTTTGTCTGCTGTGCTTGGGTGAATTCAGGGGAAGCAGGGATTTTCATCCCAAGGGTTACAAATGCCCTGCTTTATCATCTGGGTTACTCAAAGAACATAAGAAGGTATGTGATATGCAACTCCCTCTCCCTAACCCCAGACCTGGCATTTATTCAAAACTACTGCCGTTAATTGTTTTTCTTAACTAGGAAATTCCTGCAGAGTATTTTCTATCTGCAAAACATACCCCACGCTTGGGGTCTGCAGCTCAGCCGGCCTCACCCACCACCCCACAGCAGCCGCTGCCTGTGCTCAGCACCAGAATTTGATTTAGCAAAAACCCACCGGCCGCATGGCCCAGAGGCCAACTGGTTTCCAAAGCTTTTATTGTGGATGGAAGAGCCAATGTCCCCCCACACACACACACACACCCCCGTCCACACGCTCACACTCTCCCACTCACCACCCAGAACACTCACGGTTAATACAGATTAGCAAGAATTTATGTGGAAGAATATTTAATCTGGTCAGGGAGGGGAGAGGGGTCATCTGTGGGTTTATTTCTTAAATATTTCTCTCTACTCCAGAAGGGTCCGTTTCTCACCAGAAGAGGTCTGATATAAATTAGAACAAAGGGAGGAGGTTGCTGGTGGGGCGGCCACAGGCATCCCTGGACCACGGCAGCTCCAAGTATCCCTGGACCGTGGTCCTGGCTCTGCACACTGCTGGGCAGACCAGGTCCCAGCTCAGCAGCGTGCCCTGTGGATGGCTCAGTCCCACCCAAAGTCCTGCCCTGTCATCTGATAAAACTTCATGTTGAAGGGTCTGTAAAACTCCCGCAGGCGTTGGACCACCTGCATGTCGATTTTGGGGTGCGGCCGCCCCTTGGATTTCCCCAGGCAGCGGGGCTTGCTGCCACCCTCCGGCTTCTTCAGGCAGGGAAAGCCCTTGGTCTCGTTAAAATAGAAATGTTTGTCCGTTACCACCCTCTTGAGACCCAGAAAGTCCTGGACACGGCCCATCTCCCCGGCCGGGTCGCTGACGAGCCTCTCCCCACTAACGAAGAGGAATTTGGAGAGGGGGAAGTACTGCAGCCAGTTGTCCAGGTGCTTGGCGTAGATCCCGATCCTAACCGCGCTCCAGCTCGTGTCGATCAGTCCCGTGCTGAGGTTTTTGAAGGCTAGGGCCTGGAAGCTGGGGATGGAGGGGTTTTTGGAGAGTGTCTGTGTGTAGTCGGAGATGGCGCGGGTGACGGGGTTACGCACCACCACGATCAGCTTCGTGTCCCGGGACATGTTGTAGATGCGCCGAGGAGCCTCCTTGGTGACAAAGTAGCTGGGGGTCTTCTCCATCGTGATCTGCCCCTCCAGTGTCCGTGGCATCAGGCTCCTGAGGAGAGAAAGGGACACGGTCAGGACTCACTCAAAACACAGCTGCTCTGACCTGATGCCGTGATGGGGACAAGCAGGAGCAAACCCTAAAACTTGGCCAGAAATGCCCAGAGGCACCCCAACTGCAACTGCCCCTCTCCTTCCCCTCCTGCCAGCCAGGGACACTACCTTGTCACACCCCACCAGCCACCTCCTTGTCTTCAAAAGCCTCACTAGGAGTCCCCCTGACTGGGTCTTTCCTTCCCTCACCTCGTCTCAGCCTCCCCTTCATCCCCGCCAGGATCTGTCCCAGAGAAGGGGCTCCCTGTCACTCTGCCCCACAGGCAACACCATCCAGAGGGTACTTGCAGGCTGTCGATCCACCTCAGAGGTTCCCCACAACCCCCTTCCCAACCCTGGGAACCCCTCCTGCCCGCTCTTCCTCCACCCCAGTGAGTTTCAGTGGTGGCGATCGGTCTCTTGGCATGAAGGTTTTGGGATGGGGCTGGTTTTTGTCCCAGCCTCTGACCGATTACAGTTACTGGATGTGCCGACAGACCACATAGGGTTGCAAAGAAGAAAGAGGTAAATATGCATCCACGGGGGGTAAACCCAAGCAGCCTACCAAGAGATGCCTACCAAGGCTCCAAACTCCTCTGCCTCCAGACAGCAAGCAGTTAAGACCAGAAAAAGACTGTTTCCTTTTCTTAAAAAAAGGCAGAAAACCTCTCAGGGCCCAGTCATTGTGCTGTGTAAAATTCACTGCCCTGATTGTTCCCTTGTGCACTTTAATGAGGCATTAATTGCCAGAGAAATTACCCAGGCATGTCACCCTGTGAGGAGAGCCAGGGGCTGCAGAATGGGTCCCCCCTGCCACCAGCACAGGCACCTGCCCCAGAGCCCCTGTCCCCCAGAGCCCCTCACATTCCCCTTCTTGGGAGCAGACATGTCCTCTCTGGTCATCCTGGTGAAGAAGGGTTTCCCCCAACATCTGAACTCCCTGAGCCAAGATTGCGGGGCCAGCTGGGAGGCAGCTCATGGTCCCAGCGTGGCTCCCCGACACGCAGTGCCACCCCCACCTGCTGCTGCTCCCCATGGTTCCCCTTGCTGACAGATGTGCCAGGGGACTGGCAGCTCTAGCTGCTGCATCCCAGCCATATCCCACCAGCTCCCTCCCACAGCACCCGCACAGGAGCCCTTGCCAACAGGCCCCACATGGACGCAGAGATGGAGCTCACTCTTTGGGAGGGCTCATCTGGGATTGAAACGGCTTCATCTCCTCTGTGCTGTCACAAGCTGTGCTCCCCATCCCCTCCATCATGCTCAGGGTGACGTGCATCCTCCACCTCCCCAGCCACATAAAGGAGAGGAGTCTCCTGCTGAAAGCCCTGGGCTGGAAACTCATTCTGCTTGGAGCACAGCAGTGTTCTGCCCTGGTGCCAGGGTCTCAGCCCTGCTGTCCACCCGATCTGGGTGGCTGTCCTTGCACCAGGTCTGTCCTGAGCAGGAGGCTGCTTTCCCGTAGGGAGGGGACGTGAAGCTTTCAGAGCATTGCTTAATACCAAAGGAAATGACCAAACCCCTTCATTAGTTCTAAAATAAAAACTACATGTTTGTGTGCACGCAGAAATACATGTAATCATATACAGAGTAATCCCATCCTTTGCTCCCGCCTAGGATTTAGCAGATGCAGAGCACTTAACCTAGCAGGCAAGCACTGGTTTACAATGGGAAACTGAGGCACCAAGCAATGACGTGGCTTGTGTAGGAGCTGCCTACATTCATCCAGGCAACAACATCCGACAGAAAATCACTTGTATGGGTCAGCAAACACACGGGGATCCAACCCGAGCTGTTCCACACCCAGAGGCATCCCAGGATGAGCTCCAGGGATCAGGAAGTCTCCTGAAAAAAGTACCAATACCCAAATCTTAACCGTGACAAGGGATAAAATAAAGCAAAAAAAAAAAAATCAAGTTTAACCAAGAGGTTTCACTTAACTGAAAGGAGAGAGTTGGGACTGGACAGACTCTTTCCTGCAAGGACTCTCCATTTTGCCTGAACTTGGAAGAATTCTGATTTTATAACTTGAGGATCCCCCTGGGGCTGCTCCACCCCATGTCCCTTGGGGGTCTCTAGAAAGGAGAGGAGCTTCCCTGGCCTGTCCCCGCACAACCTCTCCTCCCTCACCCTGTCAGGGGCAGGGTTTTTTTTTAACGTTGCTTGTCTGAGGCCAAGCCGACCAGCTCAAGGACAGGGAGAGCTCCAAATCCCTGCCCAGACAATCCCTGCAGGAACGCTGGCAGAGCAGGAGGATGAGGATGGACCTTCCCACGGGTGGCTGGGTCCCACAGCAGGGCTGGCTCTTGGCAGCGGCACTTTGGGGCAGGACGGGGTGTTTTAGGGATTCCCATCCCGCTGCTTGGAGTGGTGGCACTGGTGGGGGAGCTGGGTCCCCACAGTGGGAGGGGACGGGCTGAGCTAGTTCTGTGCTGTGGGGAAGGCAGGGCTCTGCCCAGCAGCATCTGTTCTTTATGTAATGGGAAAAGGCTTGAGGTTTCTGGGTTTTTTTCCCCTGGACGCAGGAAAGAACACTTTATTAAAAGCATTTGCGAGTGATGCTGGGCCCCGCACAACTCCCTCCCCCAAACAAGAGTCAAAATCCACTTGTGGCTTTCTCCCCCGCCCCCCCAGGATTCATGGTCATG